TGCCCCCCGCCCCCGGGCCGTGTCCCACCGGTTCCGGCACACTCTCGGGGAAGACAGAAGCCGCACAGAAGTGCCCTCGGGCCCTGGCGGTCCAGAGGGATTACTGTCAAGGAGCGGCCGCTCTTTGCTGTTTCCCTTTCCCAGTTCCGCCGCGTCCTCCTCCTCCGCGGTGAGCGCCGGAGAGGGAAGTCGAGCGAGGAGTCCGTCCTAAGACGGGGCTGTTTCCCCCCGGCGCCGAGGGCGCAGAGCGGGTCTTCGCGTCTCCGCGGAGATGACTAAGAAGGCGCAGCCGGACACCGGGACCCGAGCCCGGCGTCCCAGAGCGGAAGACTCGGCTCCTCGCGCGGGGTCCCGACCCCCGCCTCGCCCGCGGCGGCTCGCGCTTCCGGCCAGCGGGGCCAGTTGGACCGCCCCGCGGCGCCCCGGGCCCGCAGCTCCTGGGCCCGCCCCCTCGCACTCCCGCCCCGCCCCGCCCCCGCCAGTCCGCCCGCCGGCCTCCGATTGCCTCCAGGGCACGTCACTCCGCGTCGGGTCCCGCCCTCCGCGCGCCGTCATTGGCTGCCGCCGGCGGGGAGGCGGGACGCGGCGGGGCGGGGTCCCGGGTCGCGGCGGAACCCAGCAGCCGCTGCGGAGGGGGGACCCTGTCGAGGTGAGTGTGCGCCCCGGCCGTGCGGGCTGGGCGGCCTGGCCGCGACCCCGCCACCTGGGGCCCCTGGCGGTGGCCGTCTGCCCGCCGCTGTGCCTTCCGGCGCGGCGCTGGGGAAGCGGGAGCGGGGAGTGATCCAGCCCCAAACTCGCCCTGCCCAGGTGGCCCGCGACGCTCCCCCGACGCTCCCCGCGACAGCTCGCGCAGCCCGACCCCCTCGGCTCCGTCCGCTCCTTCCTGCGGGGGCCCCGGCTTCTCCTCTCCCGGAGGGCCGCGCTCCAGGGGAAAGGTAAGGAGACACCCGCGGCGCCCCGACGCCGGAACCCCCGCGCAGGGTCCCCAGTTGAGCCGTCTGCGGGCACGCAGGCTGCGGGGCCCGGCGTGCACGAGCCACACGGGGCCGGAAGGTCGGAAGGCGGCGGGGGGAGGAAGCCCCCCTCCGCGGACAAGCCCTCCCCTCTGCTCGGCCCCATCCGCAGGTGACCGCCGCCCCGCTCGCTGTGTCTCCCGTCCGACAGCCGTGCCTGCCGCTGCAGCCACCATGGGGCCTTGGGGAGAGCCGGAGCTGGTGGTGTGGCGCCCGGAGGCGGTGGGCTCGGAACCCGCAGGGCCTGTGGGGCTGGAGGTGAAAGTCGGGGCCCTGGTGCTGCTGCTGTTGCTCACCGCGCTGTGCAGTCTGGTGCCTGTCTGCGCGCTGCGCCGGCCCGGGGCTAACCCCGAAGCCTCCGGTGAGCCTCTCGGGTCCCCGCTGCCGCCCCGCGCTGGGCCTAGGGAGGTCGCTGGGAGCTGAAGAGGGTCCCCCGGGCACAGGAAGGCCAGAGGGAGCCTTGCTTGGGGCAGAGAGGCTCGAGGGGGTCCAGGCTCACTCCCGTCTGTGCTCCCCTGTCCAGCCTCCCGGCAGAAAGCCTTGAGCCTAGTCAGCTGCTTCGCGGGGGGTGTCTTCCTGGCCACCTGTCTCCTGGATCTCTTGCCTGACTACCTGGCGGCCATAGACGAGGCCCTAGCGGCCTTGCACGTGACGGTGAGCTCTGGCTGCTGCGTGTGACCCTGTGGGGGTGGGGGCTTCAGTCACATCGCTGTGGGAGAGGGGGCTTTTTCGGATCTCTTCCTGGGGTGCTCCGTGACCTTGTGACCGTGCGGAAGGCACCGAGCATGGGACCCTATGAATTGTGATTTTTAGTGATGGGGAATAACTTTCTGTGGTGCTCCCCCACCCCCAGTCCCTCTGTGACTGTGATGCACTCCGGGATGTGGAGAGGAGCCTCTGGCCAGGCATGTGACCTCCTCCGGGAATTTCTCAGCCCCAGCCTCCAAGAATCAGCTTCGTTCTCACACCACTTGGCTGAAGGGGTTGGCGGTAGAGCGCCCTACAGGCCTGGGAAGGGTGGGAGGCCTGGAGTCCGGGACCAAAGGTGCCATAACCCAAGGAGGTAGGGCGTGAAGAAGATCGAGTACAAGGCGTAGGAAAGTCTCAGGGGAAAAACTGACACAGTTGTGCAGAGGTACTGGGAAGGCCCCCCGCACTCTTCCTCTTCCTAAGACTGGGGAAGTGACAAAGGATGTACCCTCTGTGACTGAGTGCCCGTGTCCCTGTGTGACTGTGTGTAAGTCCGATGGCCCCATGATACTGTGTGGCTCTGTGTGTGAGCATTTGGTGAGGCGGGCAACGCGTGATCCTTCCTGTGTGCCTTCGTGTCCCACTCTGTGTAATCTGTGTCAGCCACGGCAGTGGGGGCTGCTTTTGCGTCCCCTTCACAGCAAACATCTGGTAGTGTCTGGAGACGTTTTTCGTTGTCACAACTCGGGGAAGGAAGGCTTTGTGCTTGCTCTTGGCATCTAACAGGTACAGATGAGAATGCTGTTAGATCCTACTGAGCACAGGACAGCCTTCCAAAATGAATTGTCCAACCCCAAATTTTGATAGTGCCAAAGGTGAGAAGCTGGTGTCTGTGTGGTCCTGCAAGTGACACTCATATGGGAGGAGGGAAGCAGGAGATACGAGGAGGAGCTAGGAGAAGTCGTGTCCACTCCGCCCCGGGTGACAGGGGGCCAAAATGGGCTAGAACCAGCAGGACTGCTGACTCTGGGCTGGGCCTCCTCTGTGTGGTTGTGGGTGTGTTTGTGTAAGTGAGAGGAGCCCTGCGCCTGTGGGGGACCCTAAGTCTGCGTCACTGGGACTCCTCGAGATTCGGAGTTTGACCGCTCTTCCCCACTCTCGGCCCATCTGCCCTGTCTGCCCACAGCTCCAGTTTCCCCTGCAAGAGTTCATCTTGGCAATGGGCTTCTTCCTGGTCCTGGTGATGGAGCAGATCACACTGGCTTACAGGGAGCAGTCAGGGCCACCACCTCGAGAGGAGACCAGGGCTCTGCTGGGAACGGCAAACGGTGGGCCACAGCACTGGCACGACGGGCCAGGGCTCCCACAGTCAGGGGGAACCCCAGCAGCCCCCTCAGCCCTGCGCGCCTGCGTACTGGTCTTCTCCCTGGCCCTGCACTCGGTGTTCGAGGGCCTGGCGGTGGGGCTGCAGCGGGACCGGGCCCGGGCTGTGGAGCTGTGTCTGGCGTTGCTGCTCCACAAGGGTGTTCTGGCGGTCAGCTTGTCCCTGCGGCTGCTGCAGAGCCACCTGCGGGCACAGGTGGTGGCTGGCTGTGGGATCCTCTTCTCATGCATGACCCCTCTGGGCATCGGGCTGGGGGCAGCTCTGGCTGAGTCGGCCGGGCCGCTGCACCAGTTGGCCCAGTCTGTGCTGGAAGGCATGGCAGCCGGCACCTTTCTCTACATCACCTTCCTGGAAATCTTGCCCCAGGAGCTGGCCACCTCTGAGCAGAGGATCCTCAAGGTCATTCTGCTCCTTGCAGGCTTTGCCCTGCTCACTGGCCTGCTCTTCATCCAGGTCTAGGGAGCTCCAGGGGCCCTTGACCTTCCTTTCCTTCCCCAGTGTATAAGAGTAGGAGTGGGGAAGGGAGGATGGAGGGTCAGAGAGTTCTCTGGGAGACAGGGATGGAGTCTTTGGGACGGACTGACCAATGTGAGGGATGTGGTAGACAAGAGCCTGGCCCCAAGGGATAGGCAGGTCACTAAGGACATGATCGGGGATGCATACTGGGGAAGACACCGAGTGCTAGAAAGTCGGAGTCAGACACTATGTACAGGCACGGGCTGGTGGTGGGAAGCCTGGGGGGCCGTACCCAGCGGCCGTGGGATGGGGAGGTGTGGAGGAGGCCCAGCCCAGAGTCAGCAGTCCTGCCGGTTCTAGCCTGTTCTGGGCCTCTGTCACCGGGGGCGGAGTGGACTGCTGCTTCTCCTAGCTCCTTCTCTGTATCTCCTGCTTCCCTTCTCCCAGAGGACTCATGCCAAATGGCTTCTTCCTGCCAGTTTTGGTACCTTCTCTGGGTTCTCTAGTCCTGCTCACTTCTCTGTTTTTAAAGTGCCAAATAAATCCCTTCCCACTTTGTCAAAAAGCACAGCGATGGCCCTGGACCCGGCCCAACATCTCAGTGAGGGTCTGCTTGCCCTTTCCAGGCAGCCCTATTTGCTGAGCTGAGGTTGCGGGAGGGTTGGCAGGGCTGCGGCCCGGCCCGCTCCGCTTTGCGCCCTAGGAATCCTGAAGCGACATGGCTGCCGCGCGCCCGGATGACAAACACTGAGCTGCCAAAACTTTTTTATACCAGAGGAGCCCGAGGGGAAGGCTCACCCCCAGCTATTTTTGGGGAGGGAGGGCCGTGGATAGAGCCACGTCCTCTAGAATCTATTTTACTAACTGACCGGTTTTGGGACTTGTTACCCAAATAAAAGATGTTTCTATACATTTGTACAGTGTCTGATTCGTTTGTCTTGGGCAAGGGGTGGGCACGTGGCCCGTCTGAGGGGGCCTGAGTCCCAGACGTTTATAGCTGTTATAATAGTCCCGCTCTCGTTTTCTCTCAGGCGCCGTAGGCCCCTTCCTCAAGACCCAGATTTTACCTCTTTTGTTCCTTCCGTCTTCCCGCCCTGTCTCCACCCCTTCCCCTTCCTCCCGAATCCTTCCCTCGCCCGCATCCCGCTCCCCTTCGCGCTCCGAGGCTGGAGACCAACTCAGAACTACTCTTCCCGGCGGGCTCCGCGCAGGGAGGAGCCGCGGGGGAGGAGCCAGGCTCCCAGGCCCCGGAGCCGCAGGGCTGTTGGGAAATGGAGTCCGCTTCCTGTCCGGACTGCTCGCCTGGGGCCGCGCAGGCGTCACGTAAACAAACTACAGTTCCCGGCGGCCCCCGCGAGCGGCAGGTCCGGGCTAGGCTGGGGCCGGGTTCGCGGTGCTCGCCGAGGCGGCGGCGGCGGCGGCGGCGGCTGCGGCTGGAGGCGCCGGCCGGGGCCCGCGGCGGGGCCGTGACTTGTCCGGGAGGGTGGCGGGGAGGGACGCTCGGGGAAGATGGCGACGGCGGGCGCCAACGGGCCCGGCTCGGCCACGGCCGCAGCTTCCAATCCGCGCAAGTTTAGCGAAAAGATCGCGCTGCAGAAACAGCGTCAGGCCGAGGAGACGGCGGCCTTCGAGGAGGTGATGATGGACATCGGCTCTACCCGGGTGAGGGGCCGCCGGGGGAGCGGGAGCCGGGGGCGCCGTCCCGGAGCGGGAGGCGGGCGCCGCGGCGAGGGAGGCGGAGCGGGGAGGCCGCCGGCCGGGCGGCGCGGGTGGGGGTGCCGCGCGGGGCGGGAAGACTGGCGTTCGGGAGAGCCGGCGGGGGCCGCGGGGCCGGGGGGAGCCAGCGGGGGCCGTGCGGGCGGCGGCGGGCCCGGGCATCCCCGGCGGAGTGCCGGGGGACGCCCCTGCAGCATCCCCGGGGCTCGGGCGGCGGCGGGGGTGGGCACGGGCCGCCGGCGCCTCCGGCTCGGGCATCTCCTGCGGTCTGGTCCCTCTGCCCCGCTGCGCCCCTCTCGCCGCTCGGGTGCCTTCGGGAAAGGGCCCCGGGAGCGGTTTGCGCCGCCGCGCTGGGTCTCGTGGGGGCAGGAAGTCCCCTCCTGCGTCCCTTCCCTTTGCTTCCTTTTTCAAATGCTTCTTGTGGTTTCCTGACGTGAACGAAGGTGAGGTCCGGGGCTCACAGACGGCGCTTGATGTTCTGCCCTGGCCGCCGCGGAGGGGACGCAGGACTTTGAAGCTCCAGGGCGGGTCACCAGTTGGCTGTAGGTTAGGTTTGCTGAGCTCTTTAGGAAGATGGCTGCATTGTGGGTCGGTTATAAGGTGCGTCCTCGGAGGGTCGCCTGTGGGTAGGGGACATTCATTCCTGAGCAGTTCCAGAAGGAAGACACCCCAGCCCAATAGCCTGTGAAGCCCCTCTGGCCTTCGCTTCTTGCTTCCCAGGCCCCAGTAGCAGAGGGCGTCAGGGTGGGAGTCTGCCCAGCTGGCGTGCAGTCCTCGTTTAGGGACACGTTCTTCTCAGAACAGCAGGTGAGGGTACTGCCGCATCGCGTCCCTCACAGCCCCAGCGAGGAGGAGCTCCCGGGGAGAGGGTGGAACAGAAGCACCGCTGGGAGCTCTTTCTGCCCATGCGACTGGTTTGCATCGATGCCTGTGACTCTGGCTGTGCTCTTGTTTGTGTCTCCCCAACTGTTAGTTTTTCTTGTGTGTTTTCCCCTTTGGGTCTCTAGAGACCATGTGTCCTAGTTCATGGGAGTCAGAACAGAGAGCGTTAGTGGGGAAGCAGGTTGGAGGCACTGGCCACAGCTCCCTCTCAGTGCGGTGAGGGTCGTGATCCATCTGAGCAAAGACGGCTCCACTGCAGGAACTTCTGGTCGTGGTGGGGACGGAGGCAGGAATGTGGGCCGGAGCCTCCGCTTGAGGCCCTGTCCTCTGTCTGGGCTCTGACTCCCGCAGCCGCTGGGTGGGATTTTAGGGTTTGTGTGCACAAGCAGAAAGGCTGTGAGAAGCTCAGAGCTGAGGCCTCTGTCTTTTGAGCACCTTGGTTTGTCCAAACACCCCTTGTGCCCCCCCTTGCCACTGCAGATTACTTCTCTGCTGCTCATTGATGTCTAGTGGGCATACAAGGCTGGGGCTTGGTAACCCAAGAGTTTAAAGCTGGAGGTAAGGGATCTGGGGCTTAGCTTCGTGGAGAGGGCTCTGCTGAGGCCCGTACAGCCGTCCGGGCCGACGGTAACGGGAGGCAGGTGTTGGCACGCGTACTAACAGCAATCTGGAGTGGCCCAACGGTTTCCGTAGTGTCTGCTGAACTCGGTGTGCTGACCTCTTGGAACAGAAAGTTCTGATGTTGGGCTCAGCAGAGCAATGCATGGCCCCCAGAAGTTCATCAGCTGCCCTAGGTCTGTATTTTGGCTGGTTGCAGCAGGCCTCAGAAGTAGGTGTTCGCCTCCCGCAGAAGGACTTAGGATCTGTAGGATCAGCTTGCCAGACTGACGGTTGTGGCGTCTCGCTGCCGGGCCAGGTAACCTCTCCCCGAAGTGGGGATCAGGCCAGGCTGAACAGGGTTATTGCTCCCTCTATCACCCCTGGTCTCAAGGCTCCCCTGGCCATCCAGGGGCTTTTGAATGAGCTAGAAGAAGACTGCTTCTTGGTTTTGGGACTGGTTTTCCAGCGAGGAGAGCTGTCATTTCCCAGATGTTGTAGTTCGGGTGGTACAGGCTCTGTGTAGCTTTCCTGAGGCGGGGCAAATGGCAGAGCCTAGAAGCCTGCGCCGTCAGGAGCGGGAAGGAAGGAGGTTAGCGATAATGGTTCTGTGGCCTCCCCCTGTGGCCGTCCCCTCGTGTTCCAGTTAGTCCTGGCGCACTGGGAAGGGAAAGCGGAGGTGCCTAATGGGCCCCCTTCCCGGGAGTTACCCCATGGGACTAGCTTGGGGGCTGCTGGCAACCCTTCGGGGACTCTGTTTAGACGGATGCCAACTGGGCCAGGCCCCGAGCAGAGCATCAGACCCTGCCTGACTGGGTAACTCCAGCCGTCGGCGCCGTGGATGCGGGTGGCGTGTCCCCAGCCTGGCCGGTTCTGCGGTTCCTGGCACCTCTCCTCCCGGCACCAGCGGGACAGCATGCCGTGGAGACAGATGGCACAGGAGCAGTGGTCAGAAGTTTCCCTGACACTCCCGCTTGTCCTCCCTCTCAGTTACAGGCCCAGAAGCTGCGCCTGGCCTACACAAGGAGCTCCCACTACGGCGGTTCTCTGCCTAATGTCAACCAGATTGGCTGTGGGCTGGCTGAGTTCCAGGTAAGTGGACACCGGCCCAGGGGGAGCATGGGCTCTCGGGCGACCTCCCCTGCTGACCTACCTGTCTCTTCCGGCAGAGCCCCCTCCACTCGCCTCTGGATTCGTCTCGGGGCACTCGGCATCACGGGCTGGTGGAACGAGTGCAGCGAGACCCCCGAAGAATGGTGTCCCCGCTCCGCCGCTACCCCCGCCACATATCCTTCATGGGGGATGGGGGCAGGCGGGGGAGGAGATGGGGTTTTGCGGGAACTCATGGGAGGGAGGGGTTCTGTGTGCGGTTCGGTCCTGTCCGTTCCGGGCCTCCCAGAAAAGCCACCGTTCGGCCCGTGTGACCGCGATGGCGCCTTTGATGGGGGACATATGTCTCCTGCCGAAGGGGGTCTGGTCCCCTCTTCACATTTTGCCTCCCCTTTCTCTTGGTAGCTTTTGGTTTTGGAGACGTTCATTGCCCTGCTTCCCATGCCCCATCCCGTTACTCTTCCTTGTTCTTCCAGCTCTGCTGGGCCTGGTTCCCTTTTCTCTTGCATTCTTTGGCCCTGGCATTGCCCCTCACGGAAGAGGAGGAGGGAGGTGCTCGCTTCTCTGAACAGCTCGTCCACCTCCTCCAGTGTCCTGCACTTCTCTGGTCTCTGTGCCCTCTGTCCCCTCCTCCCTTTCTCCTTAACTGGTGCTGCTCACGTCGACAGCTCTCCCTATGGTCCTGCCTACTTGTCTCCTCCCCCGGAGTCTAGCTGGCGGAGGTCAGTGTCTAGGGCAGACAGCATCTCCTGTCCACTCTCAGCTGTGTCTCTGGAGGGAGCTTGGCTTGGGGCTAGGCTTGCTGGTCCAGGCTTTGAACACTCCCTCCTCCAGGACAGCTGGCTGGGAGGGGTGGGGGGGTGGGGGCAGGTGCAGTAGGTGGGTCAGAGTCCAGCCCTGGCCATGTTGACACGGGCAGCCCAGCCTCTGGGTCCAGCCAGTGCAGGACCAATGGTAACGGTGGCTGGCTGGGGTGTGTGCGTCTGGGGAGGGAGAACGGCAGCCTCTCCCCAGGGCTGGGTGCCAGGTGTGTTGGTCCGGCCCTCGGGTGTCTGAGCCTCCCTGGGCCGAGCCATCCTCAGTGCTTGTACCAGCATGGCTGCTGGGCTCCGGGATTCTTACTCAGCGGGTCCCGGCAGAGATAAGTTGAGAATTTCCAGATCTCTTAGCTTGACTGTGGGAGAGGGGTCAGGGGTCCCAGGTAGCAGAAGAACCAGGAAGGAGGCGTGGCCCTGGGCGCTCAGCCCCGTCTGTCTTCCGCTTGTGGCCTGGTCCTCCCCAACCCCATGCTTGCTCTCTGGAGTGTTGCTAGCCTTGCTCATCCCGACCTTGTATTTCCCCACAGGGCAGTACCCTGGGGCAGTTTCCCTGCGGAGAAGGGCCAGATGTTTCGACTACCGTCTGTGCTGAACAGGTGATGGCCCTGGCCGCCTCAGAGCCGCCTCTCTTATCTGTCCTGTCTGCCCACCCTCCACCCCGTTTCCTGTCCCAGCCCTGCTAGTGTTTTCCCCTGCTGAGCAGGGCCTGGGGACCAGAAACAAGGTCCCACCCAGCTCATCTCTGCACCCCCCCCGCCCCCCCCAGGACGAGTTCTGACTCTGCCCTTCACACCAGTGTGATGAACCCCAGCCCTCAGGACACTTATCCAAGCCCTGCCCCTCCCAGCATCCTGCCCAGCCGCCGTGGAGGTAAATGGCCTGGCCCCGGGCAGGGAGTGACCTGAGGAGCTTTAGTCGGAAGTCCATAGAGAAGTCCGGACTGTAGCCAACTGTCCTGCATCCTTTGTAGGTTTTCTGGATGGTGAAGTGGATTCCAAAGGTATGTGTTCCACGCCACTCGTGGGTATCGATGCCCATGCCTTTCAGGGCTGGTGTTGGGGGCTTCGTGCTGGGTCTGCTCACCTTGGTGGCTTCTGCCTTACTGACTCCTTTCCAGCCCTCTCATCGCCAGTCTTTCTCTTTCAAGTCCCTGCTATTGAGGAGAACGTGCTGGATGACAAGCATTTGCTGAAGCCATGGGATGCTAAGAAGGTCGGTGTGGCCCACTTTCCCCTTTCTTTCTGTGGGGCAGGTCTTCCTCTGTCCTCCGGAGCCCTGGCCTCCTTTCCCACATTATTCCTTCTCTCCTCAGCTGTCCTCATCCTCTTCCCGACCTCGGTCCTGTGAAGTCCCTGGAATTAAGTAGGTGCCTCTGTTAGGTTGGCCGAGGTGCTGAGGGAAATGTGGGAGGCCAGCCTCTGCCCCCTCCACGACCACTGCCCCCATCTACCCCTCTCTTCCTGTCCCCCTGCAGCATTTTCCCATCTCCCGACCAGCCTGCCAGCGTGCCTGTCCTCCCACCTGCCATGAACACGGGCGGCTCCCTACCCGACCTCACCAACCTGCACTTCCCCCCGCCACTGCCCACTCCCCTGGACCCGGAGGAGATGGTCTACCCCAGCCTGAGCGGGGGCAGCAGTACCTCCAATCTGACCCACACCATGACCCACCTCGGCATCAGCGGGGGCCTGGGCCCTGGCGCGGGCTACGATGCGCCGGGTGAGCGGCTGTCCTGGCTGGAGGGGGGACGGGGTGCTGGGGGGCTGTTCCGGGAGCCTCCTGTGACTGCCCGCGCCAGTCCTCCCCAGGAATTCTACACGGCAGGCGCGGCTTTTTCTCGAAGGGTGATGGCGGGCAGCCCCCAGGTGGGCCGTGCCGGCCTCACTGTCAGGGACAGAGCAGGGAGGACACTGTGTCGCCACTTCATAGTCTGGTTGCTGCTCTCTGTTCTGGGCAGAAAGCAGCCCAGCTCCCATCGGTAACGTTGGCATCCGTGCTTCTTGTCTGTGCCTGCAGGACTCCAGTCCCCTCTCAGCCACCCGTCCTTGCAGTCCTCCCTGAGCAATCCCAACCTCCAGGCCTCCCTGAGCGGCCCCCAGCCCCAGCTCCAGGGCTCCCACAGCCACCCCTCCCTGCCGGCGTCCTCCCTGGCCCGTCATGCACTGCCCGTCACCTCCCTGGGCCACCCCTCGCTCAGTGCCCCGGCCCTGTCCTCCTCCAATTCCTCCTCCGCTTCATCTCCCGCGCTGGGTGCCCCCACTTACCCACCTTCGACCCCCGGAACCTCCCCCCGCCACCGTCGTGTGCCCCTCAGCCCCCTGAGTTTGCCCGCGGGCCCAGCTGAAGCCAGAAGGTCCCAACAGCAGCTGCCCAAACAGTTTTCGCCAACAATGTCACCCACCTTGTCCTCCATCACTCAGGTACGCGTGGCTGCCTTCTGTCCATGTCTGTTTCCTCCTCTCTCTTCCTGCCACATGCTCCCTCCCACGTCCCTTTCTTCAGACTCCCTCTCCTCCCTCCTGTGCTTCTCGTCTCAGCTTCCTCCTTCCTCTGTCCCTCTCATTTCTGGGGTGAGCTGCTTCCTGATTCACACCCCACCCCCACCCCGTCCTGGAACAGGTGCTGTGCGGGCTGAGAGCCTCGCAGCCTCACCTGTCGGACACGGGTGCTGCCGTAAGGGTCATAGGAGCCGCATACGGGCTGTGCTTAGGCCGAGGCCAGCCAGGTGCATCCCTGCAGGTGGCAGCTTTTTCTCCCCCGCTTCTCCCCCAGCTGCTTTCCTCGTGTGTTTGTCTCTCACGCCTCCATCCTGTCCTACCCCGTCCCGTCGCTGTCCTTCTTCCACAGAGTTCATAGAGTGAGGGGCTCGCAGGTCACGGAGCCTCATCTCTTCGTGGTACAGATGAGGGCACTGCCCGGAGGGAAAGAAAGTACTTTCCGAGTTCGCTTAGCAAGTTAGGAAGAGTTGGGAGCCGAAGGAGAACCAGTGAGGGCTCTTTCCTCAGTGCCCAGCTGCGTGGCAACCCCCGCCCCCTTCTGTCGGCCGCTGCCCTTCCCAGGGATGGGTGCTGGAGGAAGGACTTCAGCCAGGCCAGCCGGGGCTCTGCTCCCTTGCAGCCTGGATCAAGCCTGACCTCCCTCCCTCCTTCCTGCTCTCCCTGTGTCTGCCCTCGAGTCCACGGGGCGCACACCTGCGGCGGGGGGTGGGGGGACGGGGGGGGCCGGTGGTGGCCTCGCTCGCTTACTCTGGTCCTGATGTGCGCGGTGATTGCGGGCACCCAGCCCTGGGGTGTCCCGTGGAACGCTGGCACGTTTGTGTTGAGGATGGTTGCGGCTTCACAGGGTGGGAAACCCTGAGGGGCTCTCCTGAGGGGTAAGCTTCTCCCTCTTTCCTTGCTTCTCTTCAGGGTGTCCCCTTGGATACCAGCAAACTGCCCACTGACCAGCGGCTGCCTCCGTATCCATACAGCCCCCCCCAGTTTGCTTCTGCCCAGCCAGCCAGCCACCCCAAAGCCTCTGCAGCAGCCCGGGCTGACCTCCCGGGCCTGCTCCATGCAGCCCTCTGGGGGACAGCCCCCGGGCCGGCCACTGCACTTTGGGTCACTGTACCCGCCCAGCTCCGGTGGGCAAGGGCAGCAGTCTTACCACCGGCCAGTGAGTGACTTCGGCGTGGGGAGTGTGAGTACCCGGGTCCAAAAGCAGCGGGGAGGCCGGGGGGGGTGGGCTTAAGGGGCCCTGCCCCGCATCGCTGCTGCACACTGAATTGGCAGATCTGGGGTGGTGGGGGAGAGGCTCCGTACCCCTGGATCACAGAGCTCTGCCAGCCCGAGGCTTCTGTCTTCCTGCGTCTGACCCTCCTCCTGCCGCTGCCCCCACAGCCGGCTCTGCGCAGCGCGCGTGCTGACGCCAGCCGCCCTGACGCCTTCTCTCCCGGGCATGCCCACGCTCTGTCCCGGCAGGTACGGCGCCACACCAACTCCGGCCCGGTGCTTGCCGCTCGTGCTCTGCGTGCGACCCTCTCTCCATCTCTGCTCAGATCTCTGCAGTCAGGGGCGGGGCGTGCTTTGCTGGGCAAACGGGACGTATTTGCCAGGCAGGCAGGGTCAGTGGGACCCCCGTTCTGAAGTGCGCTCCTCGGGCCCTGTCTGTGTCTGTAGCTGGAGCAGTTCACCATGGAGAGCCCGTCAGCCAGCCTGGCGCTGGATCCCCCTGGCTTCTCTGAAGGACCTGGATTTTTAGGGGGCGAGGGGTCAGTGAGTAGCCTCCAGGACCCCCATGCCCTCAACCACCAGAACTTGACACACTGTTCCCGCCATGCCTCAGGGCCCAACGTCCTCCTCCCAGGTGAGCAGTGTGGGTGGCGGCGGGGTGCGGTAGGAGGGGAGGGTCCATTCCCCAGTGCATCAGGAGGCCTAGCGGTTGTAGAGGAGTGGACAGGCTGAGGGGCCTCACCCGTCTCCTGCCCACACAGGGGAGTCCTCCCCAGGTTTCTCCAAGGAGATCGCGGCGGCCCTGGCCGGAGTGCCTGGCTTTGAGGTGTCAGCCGTGGGGCTGGGGCTGGGGCTAGAGGAGGACCTGCGCATGGAACCGCTGGGCCTGGAAGGGCTCCACATGCTGAGCGACCCCTGTGCGCTGCTGCCCGACCCTGCTGTGGAGGACTCATTCCGCAGCGACCGGCTGCAGTGAGGGGCCTTGGCGGAGCCCCTCTTCGTGACCGTGCCCCATCACTGTCCCTTTCCTCCCTTCCCCCTGGCCAGTAGAGACTCCACTCTTCCCCCAGATCCTCTTTCTCACATGAACGAGAGATCCTAGGAATGAGAAAAAGCGAGGGGTTTGTCCAGGTGGCCCCTGAATTCTGCACAAGGGGCGGGCCTGGGGGAGCTGCAGGGAGGGCCTGAAGCACTTGTAACTTTGAACCTGAACCGTCTGTCTGGAGGTCAGAGCCTGTTGGAAGGCAGGGGGGGAAGGGGGGACCCTGAGGCGTTGGGGTGGGCAGTGCCGGCCCCTCCTCACAACTCTTCCCCCTTGCAGTGGAGGAGAGAGCCAGAGTGGATATTATTTTTTATTAAATATATTATATGTTAATAAAAAAATCATATAAACACTTGGTGTGGTTTCTACTTTTGGGGACCCAGAGGATCCCTGGGGCCAGGCCCTTGTGTCTGTTAGGCTTTCTGCATCTTCCTGTCACTGTTGTGGCTCGTGGCTTGTGGCTCGTGGCCCCAGCCTCAGAATTTGTACCTAGCGTGGAACATGGGAGTAGCGACTGGATGCGGGCTCCCCGGACAGCACGTGGGCTCTCCTGTGTGCGCCCCCCTCCTGGGCCCCGGCTGGGAGTCCGGCCAGGAGGCCACCGAGGGCTGAGCGCACAGGCTGCTGTTTCCCCGGGGAGCAGCTGGCCCCAAGGACCGCCTGGCAGAGGGAGGGTCCCCAGGAGGATTTTATGCCCCCGGTGGGTGCCGGGCAGGGCTCGGGTTGGCTCCCTCTTTCATATGGGCCTTTTAATCCCAGAGAACCTGGAAGACAAGCGGTACCTGGCCAGCCTCTGACCTCGTGCTGCGGGTCTGCGTCTGGCTTCCTCCCGGCGCCCGCATTCCCATCCCGGCCGGCTCTGTTCCGCTGTCCCTGTGTGCCAGCCGGCTTGCTCGCAGGGTCCCCAAGGGCCTTCCTCTTCCTGTCTCGGGCTGCCAGCCCTCCGACCATGGGAGCCTCTGCCCTCTGCTCTTGTCCCCGCTGCTACCCGCCGCCTCCGGGACTCGCACACCGCGCAGCGCCGCCCTCTCCTCTTCCTCTTTCCAAAGCCCCCTTTTCCGGAGAGGGAACCGAGAGCTTGTGGCCGAGGCCCGCAGGGGATGCAGGGTGCCCTAGACCTGGGAGTGGGGGCGTCGCGGGGTCGGCGCAGCCTGGGCCTCCCGGGCCCCGCGGCCTGGCGCCCGGGCGGCATGTGACCAGGCCCCGGGGCCGGCCCGGCGCCCGCCGCCTGCGTGCAGGGGGCCCTCCCGGCCGCCAGGGGTCGCACTGCAGGCGCCGGGCGGGCGCCGCGGGGTCACGGCGGGGGGGGGGGGGGGGGGGGGGGCCGCGGAGAAAGCGGGGCGCGCGGACGAGCCCGGCGCGGCGCCCCCGCCGCCTGTCCCTCCGCCCGCCGCCTGTCCCTCCGCCCGCCGCCCGGCGGGGACCGCGCTGAGCCGGGCGCCATGTCTGGGGCCGGGTAGCCCGCCGCCCGCCGCCCGCCGCCCGCCTCCGAGCCGCCCGCCCGCGGGCCGGGGAGCCGCGGGCCGGCAGGTAGGGCCGGGCGGGGGGCGGGGGGCGGGGGGCGGGGAGGGGGTGCGGGCGGGGCGGCGGGCGGCGCAGCTGGTTCCGCTTCCTCCGTAGCGGGGAAGTGAAAGCGCGGGGAGCCCGCCGGGCAGGGGCGGGCGCGCAGGTGTGCAGCGGGCGGAGGGCGCCCCCCGGCCCGCCGCCCCCTCCCCCCCGTCCGCGGCTCTCGGGCCGGGACCCGCCGCGTGTGGCCGCGCTGGGCGGGGGGGGCGGGGGGGGTGAGGGCCCGGGGGGGGGGGGGGGGGGGGGGGGGGGGCCGGGGGGGGGGGGGCGGGGAGGCGGAGGGCAGCTGTGGGCCCGCCCGGCGGTCCCCCAGCCGCACGCCCCGGGGCCGACTTCCGCCCGCGCAGCTTCCCCTCGCGGGTTTCGGGAAGTGCCCTCCCTTCCCCTCCCGAGCGCCCCGTGCCTCCGGCCCTGCGCTGCAGCCTCCCGCCGAGCTGCTCCCCAGCTTGGCGCGCCCGGGCTCTGGGGACCCCCCCCCCGGGACCCCCCGCTCTCGGGTTGGGCCATGGCGGCAGGTGAGGACACAGTTCGCGGAGGCCCGTGGGGCGCCCGGCTCCCTCCCTGCGCCCTGCGAACGAGGGCGGATGGCCGGACTGCCTCCCGCGGCGGCTTCGACCTAACTTCAGGATCCTGGAGGTGGGAGGGCGCTGGGCTTTTTGTCGGGTTAGTGGTCAGGGGAGGAATAAGGAAACTTGAGTCTGGGGAAGAGACACGAAAACTTGGGTCTTGTGGGCCTTCCTGGGAACCCGTGGGGTCCTCCTGAAAACCCAGAGGTGCGCTCTTTAAGAACCGTAGCTGGACCGAGAGGTTCTGATGATGTCATCAGTAGAGTGGGAGGGCCAGAAACCCTTCAAACAGACTGTCAGGTTGGCCTGACGTCACTGCAGGCCATTACAGAGAAGACTGTGGTCCCCGCCGCCAGGAGTTTAGGCCGGGTGGGCCCTTTAAAGGGATTAGGGGAGCCATGTGGGGTCAGAGCCCAGGGCAGCTGTGGGCATTGAGGCGGAGCTGGGCTTGGGCCAGTGCCACCCGGAGGGAGGGTCCTGGCCTCCTTAATTGCCTGGTGATGTCACAGGCGGGATAGCTCAGGGTTGGCCGACCACCACTGACCCTCCCCTCCCCTTGGAAGGACTGAGGAGAGGAGGGAGCAGAGGGTGGCCCCTTGGTCGCCTCCCTTGCTTCTTCACATCTCCTCCCCCACACCGTTCCAGATGCCGTGAGTGAGGTGGGGGCCATGGCGGAGGAGCGGCCCCCCCGGCTGGTGGATTACTTCGTGGTGGCTGGGCTTGCAGGGAACGGAGCACCCATCCCGGAGGAGACTTGTGTCCCCGAATCTAGTGGGCCCCTGCGTGCTCCCCGGCCAGCAGATCCCATCACGGACGTGGCAGTCATTGCCAGGGCGCTGGGCGAGGAGGTGCCACAGGGCTACACCTGCATCCAGGCCTCGGCCGGGGGCCACCCCTTGGAACTCAGTGCTGGCCTCCTGGGGGGAACTCAGCCCGTCATCTGCTACCGCAGGGGCCGTGACAAGCCCCCCCTCGTTGAGCTGGGGTGCGTGTCCCTCCTGTGTGGGCACCAGGGGAGGTGGGGAGAGGCAGGGGCTGGGGTGCGGGCAGGAAGAGAGCCGGCCGAAGACAGGGAGCAGGGGTAGGTGGATGCACCCGGTCCGTACATGGAGTCGGGCTGTGGACCAGTGTGGCTGCTGGCTAGCTGTGGGATCCGGGGCCAGGTCTTGAGCCCCTCTGGGGAAGGGAAGGAACACTGCCCCATAGGGTGGTTGAGAAGATTGAAGGAGGCTATCCGCACACGGGACTTGGCTCGGAGTCTGTAAGTGGAAGCTTTTCCTCTCGGCGTTTACGAATGAGTAGGAGGAGAGCCACGGAAGGCTGGAGAGGGGGTTACTGAAGGAGAAGCAGAGCTGAGCTTAGAAGAGGACGGACAGGGTTCTGGAGGGCAGAGCCCTGCAGGAAGTGGGCCCTGGTGCCCGGCTTGATAGGGCCGAGGGTGCAAGGCTGGTGGGTAGGACTAGTTGGGCAGATCGGGCAGGATTGGGGTCTTTCTCCTCTGCCCTGAGACCTTGATGTCTGTGCCTGCTCTCTGTGTCCAGGGTCCTGTATGAAGGGAAGGAACGACCCAAGCCTGGCTTCCAGGTGCTGGACACGACCCCGTACAGCCACTCGGCCAACCTGGCCCCTCCCGGCCCTGGGCACCCCCGCACCTACCTCACTTGCCGGCGGGCAGCAGAGGGGGCGGGGCTCCATGCTCTGGGCATCACTGACCTGTGCCTGGTGCTGCCCAGCAGGGGCGAGGGCACGCCTCATACGTACTGCCGACTGGCCCGCAGCCTCAACCCTGGCATGGTGAGCAGGGCCCTGGGGCCGGGAGCAGAGGCCTGCGCGGTGCTGGTGTGGGGCTTGGGCACGGGGCACAGCAGGCACCTGCCACTGGGGCCTCTGATGCCCAGGGTGGGCCCAGAGGACTGGCTCTAGTCTTGGGAGACCAGGATTATTGGGAGGTTTTTCCTTGAAGATTTTATTTATTTATTGGGGCGGGGAGATGCGAGAGAGGGAGGAACAGAGGAAGAGGGGAGAATTTCCAGCAGGCGCCGTGCCCAGCCCAGAGCCCGACATGGGCTTGATCTCTTGACGTTGAGATCAGGACCTGAGCCAAAACCAAGAGTCGGATGCTCAGCCAGCTGAGGCACCCAGATGCCCCAGGATTATTGGGAGTTTTAAAGACAAGAGACCCCCGCAGTGTAGGTGGGCTCAGTCAATTAAGCGTCTGACTTGATCTCAGGGTCGTGAGTCCAGCCCTGTATTTTTGGGCTCTACACTGGGCATGGAGCCTACTTAAAAAATTTTTAATTTTTAAATAAAATTCAAAAGACGACAAAGGAATGGTAGAGGAGATGACACCCAGAAATCTTTGTCAGCTGTGTGTCTGTCTCTTGTCATTTCTGGGACAGTGGGGCCCAGCGGTGTACCTGTGCTACAAGGTGGGCCTGGCCAAGGCCAACACGCTGGTATACGAGGCAGGTGAGTGGCCCCTGCGTCCCTCCAAGCCTTTGGTCCTTAATGTCCCCTCTCCTGCTGCCTCTTGGCCGGTACCCTCAGTGTGCCCAGAACCCACTTCCCCGTTGCCACTCGGCCCTTCTCTGGCGTCCCCGGATCCCTCCCCTGAGTCTGATCGACCCTCCTCCTTTCGGTCCGTCCCCACACCCCTCTGCTGGGGGCGCAGAGCTGCTGGGTCGCTACCCAGAGGAGGACAACGAGGCGTTCCCACTGCCCGAGTCTGTGCCCGTCTTCTGCCTGCCCATGGGAGCCACTGTTGAGTGCTGGCCTGCCCAGACCAAGTACCCCGTGCCCGTCTTCTCCACCTTCGTGCTCACGGGCGCGGCGGGTGACAAGGTGGGTGTGCCGAGTGTGCTGAGGGGTCCCGCCCCGCCGAGCCCGCCTCACGGCTTCTCTTCCCCGCCCCGCCTCATCCCCAGGTGTACGGCGCCGCCCTGCAGTTCTACGAGGCCTTCCCGAGGGCCCGGCTGTCGGAGCGCCAGGCGCGGGCTCTGGGCCTGCTGAGCGCGGTGGAGCGGGGCCGGCCGCTGGGGGGCCGGGCGGTGCGCAGCCGCCGCGCCATCGCCGTGCTGTCGCGCTGGCCCGCCTTCCCCGCCTTCCGCGCCTTCCTCACCTTCCTCTACCGCTACTCCGTCTCGGGCCCCCACCGCCTGCCCCTGGAAGCGTGAGCACGGCGGCCAGGCTGCTGGGAGGGGTCGAGAGGGAGGGCTGGCGGCCCGGGGCAGTGGGAGAGGGTGGGTGGGAGCTCGGGCCGGTGTGCACCGCAGTGCAGACAGGGTTGTGGGTTTGTGCAGGGTGGGGAAGGAGGAGGCCACTGCCTGAGGGGTGAGCGAGGCCTGGAATCGGGAGGGACTGTGCTCCAAGCTGGGGGGTATGAGGTTCTCATGGGCGAAGCCGGGGGTGGGGGGGGGGACAGGGAGAGAGAACTGGGGAGTCTGCCTCTGACCCGCAGCCCTGTCACCCGCCGGGCCCGTGCGCACGTCCTTCACAACGTGCCCTTCCCTTCCCCACAGAGACCCCGCATCCTGGTGCAGGTGTGAGCCTAGGCCCGGCGGGGGGGAGGAAGGAGGTGGGGGGCCTTCCTCCTTCTGACCTGCTGCTCCTCTGCCTCCCAGATGTCTCCCTATGACAACCTGCTCCTCTGCCAGCCCGTATCCTCACCCCTGCCCCTCAGGTATGTGCCCCGGGGGAGGGTGCCGTGATGACCAAGGACCTGGTAGGTGCCAGGCAGGTGGGCACAGGCCAGGCCCCAGTGGCCTCTGCGCCTGGTGTCTGGGGAGGGGTCTCCAGGGCCCCTGGTGACCCCCCTCCTGGCACCCCCGCAGTGGTGCAAGCTTCCTGCAGCTGCTGCAAAGCCTGGGCCCTGAGCTGGCCATCACGCTGCTGCTGGCCGTGCTCACAGAGCACAAGCTCCTGGTCCATTCACTGCGGCCAGACCTACTCACCAGCGTCTGCGAGGCCCTGGTCTCCGTGAGTGCCACCCCATCGGGCCCTCCCTCCTCGGGGGGTTCCCACCTGTGCATCACCCCAATCACTCCTGGCCCGACTCTACTTCCTCTTGCTTCCGCGGGGGCGTGGGTGGGGGTGTCCCTCGGCCTCCTCCTTGGGCACGGTCTCCATTCAGCAGGAGTCTGGGGCTGTTCTCCGATCCCCACCCTGGCCCGTGCCCCACCTCCCTCCTGCGCCCCCTCAGCCACCCCAGGCCCCTGCTCACTGGTCCTCCTTCCCTGGTGCCCCAGATGACCTTCCCACTGCACTGGCAGTGCCCCTACATCCCGCTGTGCCCGCTGGTGCTGGCAGATGTGCTGAGCGCCCCCGTGCCCTTCATCGTGGGGATCCACTCTAGCTACTTCGATCTGCATGACCCACCTGCTGACGTCATCTGTGTCGATCTTGACACCAACACGCTCTTCCAGTAAGAGGGCTGGGCCTCCCTCAGGGCTGGTGTGAGCCACGCCACATGCACACAGAACCTTCGGCGAGCCCCGGGGAGGCTGGCGAGCAGCCCCACAGCCTCTTCTTCTCTCTGCGTATCTCACAGGACCGAGGAGAAGAAGCCCCTGTCCCCTCGGACCCTGCCCCGCAAGCCCTACAAGGTTCTGCTGGCCACCCTGACAAGCCTGTACCAGCAGCTGGACCAGAGTGAGAGCCCTGGGCTAGGGTGGGGACCGGAAACCGGCACTGACCTTGAGCCCCCAGATAGGGAGGCCTGGGGAGAGCTAGACCTTCCTTGAGGAGCTTAGAGGTATTAGGGTTTCCCCGGGAGCACTGCGTGCGCAGGGGTGGAGGGCAAACAGGCCACTGGGGTGGCTTGAAACCGTTCCCCACTGGAGATGCTGCGGTCAGTACCAGCCAGGGGGTGCCAGAGTTGGCCCTGACCCCAGCTGCCCTGGTCCCCAGCATACACTGGGCCTGAGGAGGAGGCGTCCTTGGAGTTCCTGCTGACGGACTACGAGGCAGTGTGCGGGCGCCGGGCACGGCTGGAGCGTGAGGTCCAGGGAGCCTTCCTCCGCTTCATGGCCTGTCTGCTCAAGGGCTACCGGGACTTCCTGCGCCCGCTCACCCAGGCCCCCTCCGAGGGGGCTCGGGATGTCGACAACCTCTTTTTCCTGCAGGGTAGGGAGGCCTGTCTCTGCGTGGGGAGCTGGCGGGGGAGGGGTGCTGGGCTCCGGGCAGCGGGCGCAATGGGCAGTGTTAGAGGCACCGGCCGCATGCTTGCCTCTGGGCTTGGAGTTGGGGCGCCGAGATACACCAGCACTGCCCTGCCCTCTGGGGGCCCAGGGCTTGGAGTGCAGTGCCCCTGCGGCCAAACTCTCCCTGGGGACCTGACCTCAGGGACCCCGGTCTGAGGCCCTGGGTGCAGACGGATGGAAGGGTGGGCCCCGCGGGACTGGTGCTCTGTACCCGCAGGCGTCCTGCCTAAGGAGCCCAAGAGAGGCCGGTGGGCTGTGGCCCTGATGGGGCCTGCTGACCCCCGCGACGCCCCCCGCCCCTCTAGGCTTCCTCAGATCCCGGGAGCGCTCCAGCCACAAGCTGTACTGCCAGCTGCTGCGCACACAGATGTTCTCGCAGTTCATCGAGGAGTGCTCCTTCGGCTCCGCTCGGCACGCTGCCCTTGAGTTCTTCGACTCCTGCGTCGACAAGGTATTGGGCGCCGTCCGCCCTGTGTGCACCCTGCTGCTGCTCCGAGCACTGGACCCTGGCCCGCGCCGGGTGCCCCCCGCCACAGTTACACGGTGCACACAGCTGGCTTCGCAGACACACCGGCCACGCGTGCCCGCCGCCCGCCCCCAGTGGTATCTTGGGGGCCTCGGGGGCGCCCGGGCCCACGTGCTCCTTCCCCATCACGGTGCTGCCGGGCGATGCCATGTCCTGGACGGCCGGGAGTGGCGCTCACTGTGCCTGCCGCCCTGACGCTTGCCCTCACCATCCTGTGGCAGGTCCACCCAGAGCAGGAGAAGCCTGAGCTGACGCCCTTGGTGGAGCTGGAGGAGCTGTCCGGGAGTGAGCTCACGGTCTTCATCACACCCCCCGAGGAGCCTGCAGCGCCAGAGGGCGGCGAACCGCCCCCACAGTACTGGTGAGAGCCTCTTGCTCCCCTGCGGCTGCCCTCGCCTTGGTGGTCGCTGCTATTGCCTCTTTCTGCCCCCGCAGCTACGACGGGTTCCCAGAGCTGCGGCCTGAGCTGTTCGAGTCCCTGCGGGAGCAGCCCGGGGCGCTTCCCGTGCCCGGCCCAGCCCGTAGCGCGCCCAGCAGCCCTGCCCCTCGCCGGACCAAACAGGTGATCAGGACGTGGGCCCCGCACAGGCACCTAACTTGGGCCGTTTTTTCAGCTGTGAGGCAGACCTGAGGGTGGCTGCGCTATTATTAGCAGGTTTCAGTGAGCCTGGCCCGTAAGACGTTAGCTGCTGGCACTGCCGTCGTTGCCACCACTTTCATCTTCCAAGCTCTGGAAGCTGGGGCCCCGTCCACGCTTGAGAGCTGGGCGTCTCTGCCTGGGGCCTCGGGACCAAACCCTGGGTGCAGCGTCCGTCCTGCCCCCTCGGAGCCCAGGCCCTGCCTCGGGGAGGGGGCTGCGTCTCCCCCACCGTTCTGAGACATGCCGTGGCCTGGCACGGTCCTTACCCAGGTGTGCCCCGCCCCATCCAGGAGATGAAGGTGGCCCAGCGGACAGCGCAGAAGTCAGCAGCCGTGCCGGAGCTGTGGGCCCGGTGCCTGCTGGGACACTGCTACGGACTGTGGTTCCTGTGTCTGCCAGCCTATGTGCGCTCGGCGCCCTCCCGCGTACAGGCCCTGCACACGGCCTACCACGTGCTGCGCCAGATGGAGAGCCGCAAGGTGGTGCTGCCTGATGAGGTGGGGGGCCTGTGCGGCTGCGGGTGGGGAGGGAGGCTGCCAGGGCGCTGGGGTAGGGGGAGCGGGCCCAGTGAGGTCTGTGGGGACCGAGGGAGGCTGAGACCTGGGAGCTGGGTGGGCGGGCGGTGGCAGAGGAGGCTGCTACCCGGGGGGCTGGGGGGGGGAGAAGAGGGTGCTGGGCCCGGGGTGGGGGCAGGGGAGTGGGCCCCTCACCGCGCTGTGTCCTGGCACAGGTGTGTTACCGGGTGCTGATGCAGCTGTGCTCCCATTACGGACAGCCTGTGCTGTCCGTGCGAGTCATGCTGGAGATGAGGCGGGCGGGTGTCGTGCCCAACACCATCACCTACGGCTACTACAACAAGGTTCGGGGTCTGCTTGGGGCGGGACAGTTGGCAGTGCCAGGTGTGGTATGGGGAGGGAGCTGCTCCCTGACACCCCCCCCGCCCCCTCCCCACACCCGCCCTGTGACCACTGTCAGCCCCTGTACTGGGCGCGTCCCTTCCTGCGGGCGGCTCCCTCGCTTGCCTGGGCCCGGATGAGGAGCGCGGCGCCCTCCCCACGGTAGTCCTGATGTGAGCCAGCAGTCCTGGCACCTCACACATCTGCTCTCTGTTCATCTTTTCTGCAGGCCGCCCCCCGCCCCCCGCATCTTTTCGGGGGTGGTGAGGTTGCAGAGAGTGGCTGGCTTGTCTGGTTCCATAGGGAGGAAATGAGGGAGTCAGGGCATGGAACACAGGCAGAGCAACGTTTTCTGCGTTCAGGTCCTTAACCACAATACTGAACTGGTTTTTACGTGATGAAACTCCTCGATGACCAGAAAAGTGAAAAGATCTTTCCAAAGCCATGTGCTTCCTAAGTAGCAGAGTCTGGATACAAAGTATCCACACAGCTTCTGGTTTCCTCTAGATCTCGCCCAGGTGGCCGCTGCCACCTGCCTCGTGTGGGCTTGCTCCTGGCCGAGCCATCGGCAGGATGTTTGCAGGGGAAGGTGGCCCCTGGGTGCCTGGCATCCCTGGAGCAGGCAGCGGCCACCCGGCTGCGGTCAGGGCGTGAAGTGGGCCATCTTGATGGGCACTGTGCTTGGCAGGCCGTGCTGGAAAGCAAGTGGCTGTCGGGTACACCAGGTGGGCGCCTGCGCTGGGCCAAGCTCCGGAACGTTGTCCTGGGGGCTGCTCAGTTCCGCCAGCCCTTGAGAGAACGGCGGCGGCGGCAGCAGCAGGAGCAGGAGGCGGCCGCACAAGAGGCTGGCATCGGCCGGACAGGTGGGTACGGGACTGGGCCGGGGGCAGAGCAGCCAGGCTCCGGCAGGGAGAGGTGCAGAGAGCCGGGGCTGACCCTGTGGTTGGCATCGGGGGTCCTGGGGACAGGGACACTGCAATTGGCTGGTAACGAAGGAGAGGATGTTCTGCCTGGGGGGAGCCCTCTAACCCCAGACCCACGCAAGGAGCCCTGTTTTGGGATAGGGGCTGGGCTGTCTTCTACCTGGCTGTCTTCAGCCGCGTCCCGGTCTTTCGCAGAGCCCTGCCTGGAACGGCCCTCCCCCACCCGCCCACTTCAGCGCCAGACCACCTGGGCCGGTCGAAGTTTCCGGGACCTGGCTTCCCCCGCGGGGCGCCTGGTGAAAAGCGGCAGTCTGGGCAGTGCCCGCGGGGCGCAGCCCACCGTGGAGGCTGGCGTGGCCCACAGTGAGTGTCTGCTGGAGCCATCCCCCCAGCTGGCTTCCCTTACCGCGGGGCAGGGAGAGAGGGGGAGAGCAGAGCCAGGCTGTGAGGTGATGGGGGGTGCTGCGGAAGCTGGGGGTCCTTGCCCGGGTTTCTGTCTTTTCTGCGGGCAGGGGCTGTGCTTCCCTGGGTCCCGGATGATGGGCGAGGCTCTGTTTTCTCTGGCTCGTGTCTGCCCTGCAGTGATAGAGGCCGTGGGGGTGCTGGAGCCCCGGGGTTCCCCTGTCCCCTGGCGCGATGGGAGCCTCTCGGACCTGAGCCTGACTGGTGAGGAACCGGCCCCTGGAGGCAGCCCAGAGGACTCGGGCTCAGCTCTGAGTGCCCAGTCAGCGGAAGCCCTGGAGGGGCTGAGCGGGCGGGCGCCCAAGGCTGGCGGGAGTCAGGAGGAGGCCAGCACCCCACGACGAGGGCTGGGCGCCCGCCTACAGCAACTGCTCACTCCTTCCCGCCGCTCCCCTGCCTCTCGCACTACGCCCCCTGAGCTGCCCCCTGAGCTGCCGCCTCCGGCCCGCCGCAGCCCGATGGACAGTCTCCTGCGCCCCCGGGAGCGGCCTGGATCCACCGCGTCCGAGGTAACCTGCGAGGGGCAGGGCCAGAGGTCTGGAGACAGAGCCCAGAAGGGGGGGGCGGTGCCCGCTGAGTGCCCCTCTCCTGCCGTGGCAGAGCTCCGCCTCTCTGGACAGCGAGTGGGACCTCTCCGAGCCTTCCATCAGCAGCCTGGGCCTGCGTCGGTCCTCGGAGCGCCTCAGCGACACCCCTGGGTCCTCGCAGCCACCTTCCCTGGAAGTGAGAAGAGCCCCTTCTGCACAGATGGGCCCCACACCCATGTGCAGGCTCCCCCCACCTTCCCTCTGGCGAGGCAGAGGCTGGGGCAGGTGGACAGAGCCTGGGCTCCTGAGCCTGGGGCGGGGGCTCTTCTCGCCCGCAGATCCTGCTTTCCAGCTGCTCCTTGTGCCGCGCCTGTGACTCGCTGGTGTACGATGAGGAGATCATGGCTGGCTGGGCGCCCGACGACTCCAACCTCAACACAGTGTGCCCCTTCTGTGCCTGCCCCTTTGTGCCCCTGCTCAGCGTCCAAACCCTTGACTCCCGACCCAGGTGCCCAAAGGAGGGAAAGTATTATGGGCGGGACTTGGAGGCAGGAGTTCTGGGGCTGACCCCCGTTATCCCCCTGCAGTGCCCCCAGCCCCAAGCCTGTCCCTGCTGGTGCCAGTAGCAGCAAAGATGCTCCCGTCCCTGGGGGCCCAGGCCCCGTGCTCAGTGACCGCAGGCTCTGCCTTGCCCTGGATGAGCCCCAGCTGTGCAACGGGCACACAGGGGTAAGGGCTGGGCCAGAGGAGAATGGTGGGGGTCCGTGTGTGTTGCCCGGCGGTGGTGGGGTGCGATGGGCATCGAGGTATGGGGCATCTTGGGAGCTGCGGCCTGTGGTGGTTTGGTGGGAAGCAGGGTTCTGGGGATGGGACCGTCCTCCCTCTTTATGCCCAACAGGCTGCCTCCCGGCGGGTCGATGGGGGTGCCTGGGCGTACCTGAGTCCCCTGGTGCTTCGTAAGGAACTGGAGTCGCTGGTGGAAAATGAGGGCAGTGAGGTGCTGGCCTTGCCTGAGCTGCCTGCTGCCCATCCCATTATCTTCTGGAACCTTCTGTGGTATTTCCAGCGGCTGCGTCTGCCCAGTATTCTGCCATGCCTGGTGCTGGCCTCCTGTGATGGCCCCCCACCTTTGCAGGTCAGTGCCTTCCCGTGGCCCCTGCTGGTGCTTGCTGGGTGTTGCGCACCTCTCCTCTGGGTCTGCCCCTCGGGCCCTGCAGAGCGAGTCACAGGCCTGGGCTGACCCCTCGGAGAAACCGAGCCTCCGTTTTCTCATTTGTAGAACAGCCTAAGTGCCCAGGCTCATTCGATGCCCGTGTAGTGCCTGGTTCCTACCCAGTGACTCCCTGACGGTGGTGTCATTCCACCATTTACTGAGCACCTTTCAGGCTCTGGGCAGCTTTTAGGGACAAGGGATGCAGCAGCTCCAGGACCAAGTGTGTGCCTTGGAGAGCTCGCACTCCCCTGGGGGCCCGAGGGCTCCTCTCCCTCTTCCTTTTGGCTCTAGCCTGCAGCGTCCCTTTGCGTCCTGGAGCTCCGCCACCGCCACCGCTCTGTTTCCAGCCCTCTGCCAGCCGGCCCCTGAGCCTGCCCCCTGTCTCGGCCCCTGCAGGCCCCGCCTCCCTGGCTGACGCCCGACCCAGCGGCTGTGCAGGTGCGGCTGCTGTGGGACGTCCTGACCCCCGATCCCAGCAGCTGCCCACCTCTCTACGTGCTCTGGAGGGTCCACAGTGAGTCTGGTGTCCGGCCTAGGCTGGGAAAGGGTGGGTGATGCCCGCAGGGCGCAGTGATCTGGCTGCTTCCCTTTCTCTCACCCAGGCCAGATCCCGCAGCGGGTGGTATGGCCCGGCCCCATCCCTGCAGCCCTCGGCCTGGAGCTGCTGGAGGCCGTGTTGCGCCACGTGGGTCTCAATGAGGTGCATAAGGCTGTGGGGCTCCTGCTGGAGACTTTAGGACCGCCTCCCAGTGGTCTGCACTTGCAGAGGTACGGTGCTACCATCTGGGAGGTCCCTGGCCTGTCCCCGGCTCCGTACCCCCTTTCTCTCACTCGTACCCTCTGCCTCCACTCCAGGGGCATCTACCGTGAGATCTTATTCCTGACAATGGCTGCTCTGGGCAAGGACCATGTGGACATCGGTGAGGGAGCAGGCAGGGGGCTGGGGAGTTTAAAAGTATCTGGGGCCCGGTGTTGGGAGGTTAGAATTGTAATCTGTTGCCCTGCCTGCTTCCACTCTCTTTCCTAGGGGCCTTTGACAAGAAGTATAAGTCCGCCTTTAACAAGCTGGCCAGCAGCATGGGCAAGGAGGAGCTGAGGCAGCGACGGGCACAGATGCCCACCCCAAAGGCCATTGATTGTCGCAAGTGTTTTGGAGCACCTCTGGAATGCTAGGGACCCTTAAGCTCTCCTCTCCAGCCTGGGGTGGGGAGGTGAGGGAGAACGGATTCTAGAGATACCCTGCTTTCCTACTCCTTTTGTAGAGGAGTTGGGACCGGGCTGGGAAGCAGGCCCAGCCTTAGGCTCCGAATGTGGGCAGCAAGAAGAGGGACCCACTGTTAGCAAAAGTCATAGTCCCCCTATCTCCAGCCTGCCCAGTATGCTCATGCTGATATTGTATGAGGCCTGGCGGGAGTTGGCACAGCTCTGTTTCTCTCCAGGTTATACCAGGAACTCTCCTCCAGGGTACCCACCGATCTGCACTGCCCTGGACATTATCTAAGTTTTTGTTTTAAAAAACAACTGGAAAGGTACAGAGCTACTGAGCCTTTGCCCTGAATGAGAGGGAGGGATGTCATTCTCCGCTAGTGATGGTCCTTCCTCCTTGGAACTGCTGAAGTAGCCCAAAGCTCTCCGTCAGATCTTCCCACCTTAGTGTTTGCGTTTTCAGTTATTTATTCTGGAACCACCGCTCCTTGCTTATGAGGTTCCTAGGGATGATGAAAAAGAAGGGAAGCGGGGCACCATGGTTCAGTGGTTCATAGCTCCTATAAAGTCAGGAGAGAGCTAGAGGAGCCCCATACTCCCCTCAGGAACAGCCAGGCCTGTCCAGTCCTAACCCTTCCCATCTCCTCTGCTGTGGGGAATGCCTCGCCCGCCCAGGGCCCTGGCTGCGCAGTAAGGATTGTTCCTTGCGAAGTTTTGTTGGATGTAAATAGAGTAAAAGCTGCTTGTCTTTTTCCTTCTGCCTCCTGTTCCCTGGGTCTGGGATAACGGCAGGGGATGCTGCTCTCTTTCCCCGGGCCGCACGTCCTTTCCACCTTCCCATTCCTTGCAGCCTCAGGCATGCTCTGCTTTCCTGGACCCGGGCTGGTCCTGGCCCTGGGGGGCTCGGGGCACTCTCGGAGCAGGAGAGGAGTGAGTCCGGTGCTGCCTATGGTGGTGCCAGTCTGTGTGGCGCTTCCGGCCCTCCCACACAATCACCCCCTTGTCCCTCATTTGTACCCCACACAAAGGCTCCATTCTCTGGGGGCCTTGAGCTCATCTCTGCCTTCTTCCCTCTCCCCCAGCTTTTGCCTGTCGGCTTCTCTAGTACCCCCACAGAGTGGACAGCCCACTCCCTAGTAGTTGGTGTTGGTGGCTCTCTGGCATCCTGGGACCCCTCGCAGCCATCCTAGCTGCCCCCCCCCCCCCCCCCCCCCCCCCCCCCCCGTTGCTCTACGCCTCCTGCAGGACCCAGCCGGCCAGGCTCTTGGACTGGGGACAGATCAGGAAGGTGAGGCAAGGACTAAGGAGCCCACTGAATGTGCAACAGGGAGACAGGCCCACCCACAACTCTCCCTTTCCTGTATGATGAAATAAACACAGGAAAGAACTAACAGAGCTGCAAAAGCAATCCCCAAAGGGAATTAGCCAACAAGACGCCCGCCCTGGGGAAGGCAGGCGGGAGTGTCTGTGGGGGGAATAACTTACGTGAGGCTTTTGTGCAAATTCCCAGGGGTGGAGAACAGTGGATGAAGAGAGTGGTAGTACTTCTGAATTTGGGAAACTTCAGGCCACAGGACCATCCTTCCCCATCCTGTGCTGTATATGAGAGATGCTTTCCCTCCAAAAAGAGCTGCACAAGAGGGAAGCTGGGCCTTGGGAAGTAACTTCTGTCCTGCCTGGGACTAGGAGGCGCCTTCTTCAGAGGGGAGATCCTCACATCAGCCCACGCTCTGATCAGACCTTGCTCCCTAAAACCAGCCTCTCCCCACCTCTGCAAGGGAGCAGTCACCCCGCCCCCCGCAACCTCACAAGTGTAGAGGGCAGTGTGCCCAGCAGAGTGCTGAACTGCCTGGAATTCTAGAATTTTAGGGCTCAGTCCCTACTTTGACAGAGCATACAGTCTTAATGGTCTGCAAGGCCCCTTGACTCCGATGAACATGGTATCCGCCCTCACCGGTGAGCCCTATGGTCAGATGCACAGGACTACAGAGTTCTTGCACCACAAGACTATCTGGAAATTCCAACAGCAAAGTACTCACCGGGGCATCTGACATCTCTGTGCTGGGGCCCAGGAGGGCTGGATGGGGGAGGCCATGCCTCGTCCTGGCCCAATTTCTCTTCCCAGACTTCAGAGCGTATACAGGCTTGGGTACGACAAAATTTTAATTAATTTTGTCTCTCCCACTTACTAATTTTATTATATCGGCCAAATTACTTAACTCCCGTGCCTCAGTTTTTCCTTGTGTGCAGATTGAGGTGGTTTTTCCAAGGTTAATTCCACCGTCCACATGGAGTGCTAAGCACACCTCATCAGTGCCAGCTTCAGAAAACAACCTGCGGGTAGTCTGCAGAGGGCGCGGTCAGGTCCTGGCCGCAACGGTGGCCTCACACTTGCCTTCCCTGGAGTTGGATCACTCCAGACTGAACGTTCCCTCCACCGCTGACTTTAATTCTGTTGAAAAGTGTTTTCTCAGGCCTCGCTAGGCTCTTGGTCAGGCTGGCATCTTCCACCACGTACTTCCCTTCCTCTCCGCCCGTGAAGGATGGCTCGGCAGAAGCCAGAGAAGGCATCCGAGTGATAATGGGCAAAGCAGCAGGTTAGGGAAAGAGGGCAGTGGTTTTCGGTCACAATTACTGCTATACCCAGCTCCTAGAGGGCCGCCTGATTGCACGATGGGCCCTCTGTCTTGTGTGTCAAATAACTGAGTCGGGGAAAGCGTTAAAATGAGAAATGGTTTTCAGTGTAGTGCAAGGCGGGTCCAAGTAGGACACAGTACCATGCCTGCTGAGTGCTTACTGGGCCCTTGGCACTGTCCTGCATATTTTAAACGCACAACTTCGTAACCTCACAGTTCCGCTCTGAGCCGGACTCCTCTCCATCACTCCCGTCCACAGAAAGGGAGAGCGGGGCACAGAGAGCAGCGGCTAAGTCACTTGCACCCGCATCCTAGAACCGCTAAGACGGAGCGCCAAGCTCCCAGGCCAGGCCGGGGACTGTGCGCGGACCCTGTGCGGGGCGAGACGAGGCTTCCGCCCACTGAGGTGACCCTGGGGTGCACCTGTCTTCAGGTGGCCCCCTCCGCCCGCTGCACTGCCACGGGGCCGCACGACTTCTCCGCGGCCGCGCGGGCACGCCGCGCTGCTCCGGGAGCCCGGGCTCTCGGGGATCAAAGCCCCGCTTTCTCCCTGACGCGCTGTCGACCTTCGCGAGTTACTCCATGTCTCAGAGCCGCTTCTTGAGCTCGGGGTTCGGGCCGCGGCGGGGACTGAGCGTGGGAACCTCCGGGCGCGTCGCGGGGGTCTGCGCCCCCCGGGGGGGAGGGGGGACGGTGCCCCCCGCCGGCCCCTGCCTGACCCGCCGGCTCTGCGGGGCCGGATCCCGCCGTCACGGCGCGGGTGCTGCGCTCACCCCGCGCCCCGCGCCCCGCCGGCCCCTCGCGGCCCCCAGGCACGGCCGCTGCCCGGGCCGCCGCAGGCGCGCGCGCGGGGCCCTACGCACACCAGGAAGCCGCAGGCCCCGAGCAGGCCACGCCCCGCACAGACCGCGAGGCCCGAGCGCCCGCGGCCGCTGCCATCGTCAGATTCCGGGATTCGGTCGCGAGGAGCCACCACCCAGCGCGGAGCCCGGCGCCACTCGCCAGTCTCCATCTTTGGAGTCGGAAGAATGAGAGCGGGACGAGGGGGAAGCCGGGTTTGGGGATACTGGGGTACGGCGGCTGCCTGGGGACCAAAACGTCTCTAAGGTAAAGTTGCAGCCTGAAGCGATTTTTTGACCCCCGACACTTAATGGGCTGCTGAAGACCCGGATGTGTCTGGGACTGGCCGAGGTACCCATTAACGCGCCCCCGCTAGACCATCCCCCTCCTCCGCTTAGGATTGGATACTCCGTACGCTAATCATCACTGCTCCAGCCACTCACTCTTCGAGGGTGGGGTGTAGTCCCGGCATTCCCTCTTCTATTGGTGGGGCCGAGCAGAGGAGGGCGGGGAGGCCGGCTGGGGTCGCCCAATGGGCGTCGTGGCGTGTGGGGAAGGCGGAGCCGAGGCGCTTGGCAGCTGCCCAATCAGCGTCCTTGTTTGTGTGGTGCCGCCGCCGGTGCAGCCGCCGCCGCCGCCGCCGCCGCCGCCGCTGCCCCCCCGTCTGTACCGCAGTGTCTGCTCCGCCCGCCCGCCCTGGTCCGGCCCGCCCCCCCCCCCCCCCCCCGCCCCCGGTCCCGTCGGCGGGGCCCGGAACCCACTGTGCCGTCGCCTCCCTTTTTCGACGCCTCCGCCGCCGCCTGAGGAGGCGAGCTCGTCGGGAGTTACCCCGCCACCGCCAGGTGAGGAGCTTTGGCCTAGGCCCGCCTGGCCGCCCGCCCGCCGGGGGCGGCGAGCCGCGAGGACCGGGGGAGCCGGGCGGCGGCGGCGGCGGTGGGGGAAGGGAAAGGTGGAGGGCGGGGGAGGGGAAGCGCCCGCGAGCCGACGCCCGCCCGCGCGCCCCCGCCTCGCGTCCCCCTCCCCCGCCCGGCCCCGCGCGCCCCCGCCTCGCGCTCCCCTCACCTCGTCCCCTCCCCCGCCCCGCGCGCGCTCCCCGGCCTTTCCCTTCGGCCTCGCGCGCCCCCGCCTCGCGTCCCTCCGCTCCTTCTGCTCTGACTCTTTCTCCCTCCCGCGCGCCCCGTTTCCCCCGCCATCCCCGCTTCCACTCCCTGCCTCCCGCCCGCCATGCTCCCCTCCGCTCCGCTCTAGCGCCCCCCCCCCAGCTCGCTCCGGCCCCGGGGGTACCCTCGGGGGGCCGGGGCTGCTCCCCGCGCGCAGTCCGGGCCCCGCCGGTCGCCGGGACGCGCGGGGGTTCCTCGGCTGAGGGGAGCGCGGCGGGATTCTCTTTATTTAGGGGACGGGATCGGGCGCGCAGAGCCGGGCCCCTTTATTCCGTCGCGCCGCCGTCGGAGCGGGGACCGCTCTCCGCCCGGGTGGGGCTCCCCTTCCGAGCGACCCCGGCGCCGCTGTCCTCGGCGGGGCCTCTGGGGCGCTCCGGGGGCCGACGGAGCCGGGGCTGGCCCTTCGCGGACCCGAGCGGGACTTGGAGTACTTTCTGCCCCTCTGCTCGCTGGGACGCCGAGGAGCGGCCGCTCCTGTGGGTGCCGTTCGCCGGCCCAGGACGGCCCCCCGCCCCCCGGCAAGGCGTGCTCGCCTCTTCGGACTCTTCCCCCGCAGCCGCGCGGCGTTCGCTCGGGACTGGCGCGGGGGTGGCTGGCGCGGGGGTGGCGGTGGAGGCCCGGGGTGGGGGGGGGCACGTGCCCGCTGGCGGAGCTGGCCTCGGCCTTTCCTCCTGCTGTCATCCGGGGAGGCAGGTAGCCTGCCGAGAGCGACTTTTCCCGTTTCCGACCAGTGGTTGTTTGCAGGGCTTTTGTGTGCGTGTCAGAGCTGGGGAAGGGAGCGGTGCCTTCGGGCCAGACTGCAGCAGCTGGAGGGCTCGCGGGTCCTGTTGAGGAGCTGATGCTCTTGGTTTTGGAAACATTTTCATATATAAAAATGCAGTTTTTGGATAGGTAGTGCGCGCATGTGATTCAAAGTGAAGTCTTCCCTTTCGCTTCTCTAGTCTAGTCTCACCTCCCGTTTACCGATTTCTAATTGTTTTCTGGCGGCAGCGTGCGTGGATGTTGGACATTAAGCAAACTTTTACTTTTTCTTGGATGCACTGACCTAAACTGCTCGTTGAAGTCTGACTCGTGTTTTTGGTGTCCGAGCGATCGTTACAGAGTATTGTTTTAGAGCAACATTTCTGTCTGTGCTGACGGGTAAGGAGGCTACTTCCGGAACTGGTGGAGTCGGTGCTGTGGGAGGCCTCCGTGTATTTTAAAGGAAGGCCCGCATCTGTTGGAAATGTCTACTTTTTTTTTTTTTTTTTTTTTGTAACTGATCTCTAGTCTGTGTTTGGGGATGGACTGGGTCAAGAGTAGCCTTCCCTTGGGCTTTTTAAACAGGTAGGTTGTATGAATAATGAGTTAGTAGGAGTGCTGGCTTGGCAGTGCTGCCTTCCATTTTTAGAGGCATGTAGTTTTTTAGTCTTGGGGCAGTTGTAGTCATCGTGGTGAGGAATGAAGCAGATAAATACTAATCAGGAATCAGAAGGCCAGACCTGTAGGCTGAGTGACCCAGTTTGAGAGGAGGTGAGGCTTATGGACTTTTGTCCTGCTTATTCTTTACTTGAAAACACTTTCGATGGAGTGAGAAGAATTCGTAGCTGACAGCAGCATCCATCTTTAGGACACTGTGGTTTGCCTCCTCTGACTGTGTGATGTCTGCTAACTTCCTGTTTAGGGGCAGGCCGGAAAGGGGCTGCGCACACGCTGCTCCAGTGCTTGGCTAGGAACAGTGTTGACCAGGGTCCCTGATCAGCTCTTCTCGGCTACGTTCTGGCTGTGACCTTTCCTGCTGTGTTCAGTAGAAGGCCATGGGTGTTGGGAGGGAAGATACAAAAATTTTTTTCTGAGCCTCATAGTCTTTTTTTTTAAGATTTTATTTATTTATCTGTAGGAGATCACAAGCCGGCAGAGAGGCGGGCAGAGGCAGAGAGAGAAGCCGGCTCCCTGCTGAGCAAGGAGCCCGATGTAGGGCTCCATCCCAGGACTCCTGGGATCATGCCCCGAGCTGAAGGCAGCAGCAGTGGCTCAAGCAGGGACGCCGCCGGCGCCCCGTACCTCATCGTCGCCTGTGCGCTGCCCCCTTTCTCTTTCTTTTTTGGACAAGTGTTTCCAGTCCCCCCAACACACACACTTTTTTTTTCTTTTTCTTTCTTTTTTTTTTTTTTTTTTTTTTTTTT